TCCTAATTTTGTTACCTATCTTACCAGGAAATTCAAACCATAAACGTAGAAGTTCATCATTATCGCCACGTTCTATGTACACTAATTTTCCTACACAACCATTAGCTAAGCCATCACTCACATCGATATTAGTTGTTATTATGTAAAATTTATTCAGAACTAAAATTATTTCATACGGCAAACCCCCGGTATCAATAACCGATTTTTGTGAAACTGCTGACGAATGTATGATTGTTGATCTGTCGCATGGCAACCTACATAAATATCCGTGGCAGTAAATATTATTTTGTCTTCAACGAGATTCAGTATAAATTTATTATATTCCATGACACATTTATTCTCTAAGAAAAGTCTTATTCCATGAGGACATAATACAGTAACCTCTTCTTTTGTAAAAAAAACGTGATTCAATTAATGCAAGTTCATATAGGGTTTAGCGTTCGACTTACGCATGACATGACGAGAGTGGATCGCGACTCGCGACATCAGCGCCTACCTGCGTCGTAGTGTTCAACTTCACGTTGGCGTTTTCGTTGCATTTGTACGGATTTACACCCGTGTCGCGCCTAGAGAAATTTTTACACCCATATCGCGCCTAAAGAAGTTTTACTTCAAAAAGATATATTTTTAGGTTATGTTTTGACATTTATTATTTGACATTTGTGATATGCTTGCGCAAGTACTTGAACATAAACTTGAACCGTCTGTGGGCGCTGTGAAAATACGCCTGGTTGCGCATTCATTCAGTTGCGCAAGTATACAGTTACGTCTGTGGCCGGCTTAAGAAACATTTATGTTTATTTATCTATGTTCGGAGATTACCGGCCATGTGGTTCTCTATGTCTCCACTCTCTCTATTGCTACAAATGAACTCTATGCTTCAAATGTCAACTAATAAATCTAAATTTAGTTGAAACCATTTATCGCATTGAAAAAAAATATTGACAAAAGTAGACTATTATTTAGTACTCATCTATTTTCTAATTTTTTGTGAAAATATATAAAAATGTCGAAGAAAACAATTATGTCTATGAATGATCAGGCAGTTAAAATTGAACTACCAGAATATTCACCAGAAGACTTTAAACTCAAAATGGAGGATGATTTTGATGATCCCGATGTTATTGTTAAATCTGAATCGTGTTCTGAAGATGATGATACGTGTTTAGAAAGATATATGAATTCCAAAGTTACAATTGAAGAAGAAGGCAAACAGGAGTTAGTCGAGACATCAACTTACACATTCAAATGTTGATGTCTCGACTAACTCTTGTTTGACTTCTTGTGACATGTGCAATAGATCATTTGCAGAACCAGATCATTTAAAAGAGCAAAATCCCATACACGTTTTCACGCTCTCATGAATGCAATATATGCCAAAAGACATTTACACAATTATTTAATCTACAAAGACACATGCTCCTTCAGAATGTTGAGCGCCCCTATCAATGCAATATTTGCAATAAGACATTTTCACATTGTCAAAAAAATTAAACATTTGTGCCGTGTACTAAACGTAAGTTTATTTATTAGAAATTATTTCTTTATTCGTAGTTTCTATAAATCTTTGTAGTTATTAAAAACAATTACATGATAGGTGAAATTGTGAAAACAATGTTTATTTAGGCGTTGTTTAACATAATAATTCTCTGCATTTTTATAGAGATTAAAGAATATTAAAGCAACACAACTTTATTCTGTCATGCCGATAGAATAAATAGATAATATCTTTTTCAGAATTATATCTTAGACACTTTTGCAAGTTCAGCGGAAGTCTACATGTTTTTCGATCATGATGGCAAGTATTACAAAGTTGCATATTTTTATAAATAATGAAGAATAATTTGATAGTCAGATTTATTACTCTAAACAAGAAATCAAGCACAACAATAGTTTGTGTAGATGTGCATCATTTATATACAGATATACTCCATAATTGACATCTATGCAGTTTATTTATTGATAGTGTTAATGAAATAACTCAAGTTTGTTATAAGTTCACTGGAACAAATGTTATAGAATTGATTAATCAGCAATTACTTCATTTCTCTAATAAAGGTTCAAGTCCTAAATACTAATTACAATGACAAACCGATCATGTCTGAAGTTTTGTTTTTAGTTTTTAAAGATTTATTCATTTCATTTATATATTAGTTTATACATACATATTTCTATACAATTTATATATAATCATGCATAACTATCCGTATAAATACATAAACTTATATTTAATACTAACCAATAAAAAAGTAAATTTACTTCTAAATAAATTTCTAATCATGAAAAAAATAATCACTAAAAACCATATCTACAATAATAATAACAAAATAATACATATTGCTTATATGAATGGAAAATAGTCAAAAGACTAACTAGTGGGGCGCATGGCATCGTGCCTTAAGGCAAATTGCTGGAACTTCCCGTACCAAAAATTATTATTTTTTAAAAACAATTAACATTTTTGAAAAAATTTTACTTCGAAAAAATTAGATTTTTGAGAAACTATAAATTTGACAAAAAATTACTTTTCTTTATTTTGACATATTTTGGAAATTCTGAACTTTTTTTTCAAAACAATCGTACTGCTTTAACTGCATAGGGACGAAATTTCAAGCCCGTAAGCGTCGCCTCGCCGTCTAACTGATAAACATTGGGACGGAACCCATAGGAATGTAAACAAAAATTATACTTCTTGTTAAAATCTCTATAAAATATCTGAAAATTTTATGTGCACATGTCTAATGATCATTTTTGACCGCCAAATGGCATTATTTTTTTCTTTTTTTACAAGATCTCCGAAATCGCTAGACCTGCCTTCATGAAAATTTCATCAGATATTCATTTTGTTAATACAAGTAAAATGTTTTTTGAATTATTCAAATCGGACGCTCCGTTCTCTTAAAAACTGAGTTACCAGTTTTAGCACTTTTTGCCCCATATCTTCAAAACGGCTAGACCTGCCATCGCCAAAAACTAATCAGCACGTCTTCTTATTAAGACGAATTGAATGTTTTTTGAATTATTCAAATCGCTTCATCTGTGTTCCCGAAATTGTCGACGAAAATTTGTATCCGCACACACACACATACATCCATAGATAAACAAGTATAATTATATAATATACATATAATATAATATATAACATAATATACATCCATTTATTCTAAGGTATGCCAAAATGTTCAGAAACGTTTGAAACGTAAAGATATATAAAAATTTTCATTTTCGATTTTTTTGCGATTACTATAACTTGCCCTACGGGAAGTTAATAACATATGCTGTAATAATAGTTTAGGAGTAATTTGATCTCTGTCATATTTTATACTTGATTACTCATTATTGATGATGGTAGCTTGTACTTATTGTACCAATATTAGGATTTAAGTTAAACATTTATTTAAAGTTAAATAAACATGGCTGAAGTGTGATTTTAATTACGTTATTATTTTCAAACATTATAAATATTTTTAATGGTATTATAAATATATCATTTATAATTTTTACTATATAAGTATGTATGATGGTTGACATTAAAAAAATGTGCATTGCGGGTATTACCATATTACTAATAAACATTATTCAAAATTGATATATCACGTATTTATTTTTAACTTAAATGCCATCTCCAAAAAAGTTTTACTTCAATCCAGTGTGAACGTTACGCGCACTCTTTTTTAACTTCCCGTAGGGTAAGTTATTGTAATGGGCCGAAAATAGGAATTGAAAATTTTTACATTTCTCGACGTTTTGAAGGTTTCTGAACGTTTTGGCATACCTCAGAAAAAATGGATGTTTGTGTGTGTGTGTGTGTGTGTGTGTGTGAGTGTGTATGTATGTATGGATACAAATTTTCGTCCACGTTTTCGGGCGTACGGATCAACCGATTTGAATGGTTCAAAAAACATTCGATTCCTATTGGTAGGGAAAAGAGCTGATTAGTTTTTGGCAAAGGCAGGTCCAGCCGTTTCGGAGATACGGAGCAAAGAGTGCAGAAAATAGAAATCGAATTTTTGAGAGAACGGAGTATCCGATTTGAATGATCTAAAAAACATTCAATTAGTAATGATTGGGAGAAGTGTTTATTAGTTTTTGGCAAAGGCAGGCTCAGCCATTTTGAAGATACGGAGCTAAATATGTAAAAAATGGCAATTTTTGAGAGAACTAAGCGTCCGATTTAAATGATTCAAAGAACTTTCTGCTTGTCTTAACAAAATAATTGATTTTGGAAAAAAAATTTTGTTCCATTTTTTTTTTTTTTATTTATTTAGTTTTTTGTATATCAAAAATATTTAAGATTTTATTTTTAATTCTGACTATAGTACTAATATACTTTGCAAATAATTTCAACTCTGCAATTCAGTTTATATAATTCTTATAAATATTAGACAATGTTACAATATTTATAATAATCTATTTGAAAACATTCAGTATTCCACGAACATTTCGTTACGGTACGGGAAGTTCCAGCAATTTGCCTTAAGGCACGATGCCATAATTGCCTCAAGACAGAATTCCACTTACAGCTAGTTATATTTGATATACTACTTACGATCGTCATATTGAGGATAATTGAATAGATTGATTGTTTAAGAAAATTTTATATATTTACACTTCATGTAGAACATCAAATTAATAATTTAGACTATATGTTTTGAATAATATCTAACAATCATTCCTTAATTAATAATCAATCTAGAATAAATAATAACAATATTTGTTTTTTTTTATTTGAAATTTTATCGTTTTGTGTTACAACAGTTAGCACATAGAGAATAGTTGTGAATTGAAAACGATGTCTGATCTTTTCGAAAACATGCTCTATGCTTCAATTACCAACTTAATCAAAAGCTGCCAAGCCAGGCCAAGCGCCAAGCTAACCTCTTCATTTTTAACAATAAATGTAAATATAGTTAAATTAATTATTGTAAAAATAGATTGTTAAATAGTGCACGACTGTTTTTGTAAATACTTATTGTATATACACAGTAAAAACATTTAAAATGTCAGGAGAAACAATCAGGTCTATTGAAGATCAGGCAATTAAATTGGAACCTATAGAATTTTCAATAGAAGCCGTTAAATGTGAAATTGAGGATGAATTTGATGCTGTTGAAGATATTGTTAAGTCTGAGTCGTTTTCGGAGGACGGAGAAACGTGTCTCGAAAGATTCATGAAGACTGAGGTAACTATAGAAGAAGAAGACCAAACGGTGTTAATTGAGACACCTGCTTATGAATTTGACGACGGAATACCTTTTTTATGTACAATATGTGATAAAGTATTCGATACACTTCATCTATTAGATCAGCATGTTTGTGAACAGATCACGGAACAACCTTCAAGCTTACATGTATCTGATAAGGTAAATAAAAATAAAAATACTCTTACTGTAAATAGTTTTCATACATGCTCAATATGTGACATGACATTTGCAAAAACGAGTACTTTGAAAGTGCATATGCGTATTCATATAGGAGAACATCCATTGAAATGTGAAATATGCGATAAGAAATTTATAAAAATTACCACTTATAAGTCACACATGCTTATTCATACTGGAGAACCACCTTACAAATGCAAAATATGTAACAAAAACTACAGTCAATCCAGTAGTTTAAAGCGGCATATGGTTATTCATACTCAAGAGCATCGTCACATATGTGAAATTTGCAAAAAGCCATTCCTTGCTGTGGGTGATTTGACAAACCACATGCGTGTTCACACCGGAGAACGTCCTTATAAGTGCAAAATTTGTGATAAGGCATTTGCACTATTGTCTAATATGAGGTTACACATGCTTATTCATTCTGAAGAACGTCCTTACAAATGCGAAATATGTAACAAAGCATTCAAAGTACCCGGTGTATTGAGGCAGCATATGATAACTCATACAACAGAGCGTAATTACAAATGCTTGATATGCAATAAGACAATTGCACGACAGCATGATTTTAATGAGCATATGCTTATTCATACAGGAGAACAACCTTACAAATGTGGAATATGTAACACAGCATTCCGTACCTCAGGGATTTTAAGAATACATATGCGTACTCATACAGGAGAACGGCCCTACAAATGTGAGACATGCGGTAAGGCATTCACACAATTCGGGAATCTAAAAACGCACAAGCTCATTCATTCTGGAGTGCGTCCTTATAAATGTAAAATATGTAAGAAAGCATTCCACGCGTCATATAATTTAAAGAAGCACATGGTGATTCATACAGGAGAGCGTAATTTCGAATGCTTAATATGCAATAAGACATTTTTACGACAGTATGATTTGAATCTGCATATGTTTATTCATACAGGCGAACAGCCTTTCAAATGTGAAACATGTAACACAGGATTCCGTACAGAAACTAATTTAAGAGTACATATGCGAACTCATACAGGAGAAAAGCCCTATAAATGTGAGACATGCAATAAGGCTTTCACACAATTAGGTACTCTACAATCGCACAGGCTCATTCATACAGGAGAACGCCCTTACAAGTGCGATATCTGTAATAAAGCTTTCACACAATCAGGTAATCTGAAAGGACACAAGCGTACTCAGCACAGAGTTCGTTCTAAAAATGTGAAAGGTGCAATCAGAAATTCACGCAAAAAGGTGAGACAGAGTTAAAAATTAAAATTGTTAAATATATTAATTTTTACACACAAAAATGTAATGATACAAATTACATTCACTATAAACAATTTAATCTAATGGCATTAAAATTAAATTTAGATATAGTTTTAAAATAATGTACAAATAATTATATAAACATATAATAGTGTATATATTCAGTGGCACTGTAAATACAAAGAATTGATGAAAAAATATTTTGGAACGATATATATATATATATATATATATATATATATATATATATATATAGTTTTTCTTCAGATGGTGAAATAATATAATAAAATTGTTTCTTGGGCATCCATCCAGTAATTAAAACTGTTTTTCATTAAAAATTAAAATTTTTCATTAAAACTGTTTTTTAATTACTAGATGGATGCTCAAGAAACAATTTTATTATATATATATATATATATATATATATATATATATATACTAGACGTCTACAATTCAAAAGTTCAAAACATTTTAATATCCTATTTTATACTTTTTAATATCCTATTTGATGTCCTGCCTTTGTGATTCATTTATGGTCTTAGCATAAGCAATATAAGAAGTTCAGAAAATAATAATTTAGTATCTGCTGTAAAATAATAAAATCACACTTGATTTTACCACACAACATAATTGCTTTAATAATTTTGTCTATAATTTTCATAATCCAGAACGATATATTAGTTGTTTTTTAGCAATTTTAATTTCTAAAGTACATTTTTCTTACTAATAATTTAATAAACATTATTGTTTATGTTCAAATCTTAGGTGAATTAATTTGTAAAATATAGTTCATATGGGCACTATTCAATCTAGATCAACGTGCTAAATATTCCACATCCAATGATAAACAAATGAATCATTTCTTTTAATGAGTAGTATAATTTTTTTTGTATTGTTAAATAATTTTTAAAGTAAGCCAAAATGCATTTATTAAACTGAATTATATAATTTCATTTGCCAAATATATACTATTGACTATATCTTATATTATTTTAATTTTTGACACATCTCAGCTGCTTTACGGCAATAATAATGTAGACATTACATTTTTCTTGTATATTATATTCTAATATTATCTAGGCTAATAAATTCAGCTAAATTCAAATTTCATGTAAACTAACATTTCGAGCAGATGACAGTTCAAATGTTTTCAATGTCAAACAATGATAAGTGGTTTTTTGTAATTTTTGCCATTTATTTCTACAATATTACTATAGTTTTATCCTTCATTAAATTTAAAAAAATTTCTTTGACAAACTCTAAAAAGAATTATCTAAATCCAAATAACTGTTTAGGTATCAAATCATACACCTGTACAGAAGAATTATGCATATATATGAGTATTTAGTATTTTATATATTATATATATAGTATATATATAAGAGTATATATTGGTATTTTACAGCACTCAGATGAGCCTCAAGTCAAGAGCACTGCAGACCATGGCTTTCAAAATACCGAATAGTGACAGTTAGCAGCTTTTACATCTAGCAGCAGGTGATTACAGTTTAAGCAGACCGAACGAACCATACACTGAGAACATAGAGGTGCTCCAAAACTGAAGCTGAGAACCAACATATCCAAAGGAAGGAAATGTTGAAGCAGTAACGTTTTCAATATGACTGTTAAGTTGTATCTTATAGAATATCTTAATCATTCGATTAACATTTTTTTAACTTTGGTTAATTATTAGATATGAAGTTAGGAATAAATATTATTAAGTTATTAAATTAAATTTTAATTTAATTTTAGTTACAATTGCTAATAATACAAGCTTAATATTTATTAACCGTGATTAAAATACAATTAAAAATAATGATCAATCTTCTTATAGAACATATTATTTATTCTATTAATATTTTTTTAACTTTGGTTAATTATTAGATATGAAGTTAGGAATAAATATTATTAAGTTATTAAATTAAATTTTAATTTAATTTTAGTTACAATTGCTAATAATAAAATCTTAATATTTATTAACCGTGATTAAAATACAATTAAAAAATAGTGATCAATCTTTTTATAGAACATCTTATTTATTCGATAAATATTTTTTTAACTTTGGCTAATTATTAGATATGAAGTTAGAAATAAATATCATTAAGTTGTTAAATTAAATTTTAATTTAATTTTAGTTACAATTGCTAATAATAATAATAAAATCTTAATATTCATTAACCGTGATTAAAATATAATAAATATAATGATCAATCTTCTTATAGAACATCTTATTTATTCGATTAATATTTAAGTTTGGTTAATTATTAGATATGAAGTTAGGAATAAATATTATTAAGTTATTAAATTAAATTTTAATTTAATTTTAGTTAGAATTGCTAATAATAATAATAAAATCTTAATATTCATTAACCGTGATTAAAATGCAATTAAAAATAATGATCAATCTTCTTATAGAACATCTTATTTATTTGATTAATATTTTTTTAACTTTGGTTAATTATTAGATATGAAGTTAGGAATAAATATTATTAAGTTAATAAATTAAATTTTAATTTAATTGTAGTTACAATTGCTAATAATAAAATCTTAATATTTATTAACCGTGATTAAAATATAATTAAAATGTAATGATCAATATAGTACTAGATAAAAATGAAAAATTATCACAGTGAAAACAGCGCACTCCATTTGTTAACATTATAATATTATCCATCCTGTCTCTTCATCTTCGACACTTGAGATTTGTTTTCAAATATTTCTGTATATATTAACATGTTTAGTTCTCTGTAGGGTTTTAGCCGGTTTTTGAATTTTATATAGAAAATAAATTTTTGCTCGAATATTCTGTAATAACAAATATTTATATTATCCGCAAATTTAGTGCGATTTAATGCAGTATTTGACTAAATTTATTTATTGGTAAATTTTATGGATAAAAACGATATTATTTCAATTTTAATTAGTAGAACAAAAAATTATAGTTCATCTGGATTAAATAACTTTGAAAATAATTAATAGTTATTCAGGCATCATTTTCACATATAAGAATGAAAATATTTTTATGATAGTGAAAGGAAAGTTTGTGAATGACCAGACATAATACATATTTAAATAAAAAACATTTATTAAATTAGAAAAAATTAAAAAAAAATAGATACATGTTGATACATACTTGTTAATATCAATTTTAGTTTTAAAAACAAATCAGCTAAACCCCGAGTATTTTCTATTCCAAGCAATTTTAATTAATTAATTTTAAAAATTCTAATTATTTTTTTGTTTAATAAAATATGATTTTAAAAAACTGAGAACGTCTATCGATTTGTTACTTAGGCGTGTCCTTTGTTTACTCACAAAATTTCCCGAAAAAAAGAAAATACTCTCTTACTTGCGACTGAACTAGGCTTAATTGTTTTCAAAGCCTGATATGATTAGTTTTTTGTTCTTTTATTTGTGGCTTCTGGGGCTAATAACTCTTTTTTTAAGTTTGAGTAGAAGAACTTACTTCTTCAAGAAGAAGACACTCTGATTTAAATTAATATATACACTATTATAAAAATACTATAATAATACATTATATGAAAGATAACAGAAAACCTTTCTGGGAGCCATAGCAGACTGTATAATTCCAAATGTTATCGAACCGATGATTTTAAGAATTAAAACACTTGCATCTATCTTTTACATTTGTCTATTTTTGTCATTATAGTGAAAACCGACTTTTTCTACTGAAAAACCGGTTTTCGAATTCCATAATTTTCGTCAAAATACCGGTTTTTGAAAACCGACAAACCCTAGTACTGTGTCAAGCTTTGTAAGAGATAGTTGGGGTTTTTTGTTTTTCAAAAAATATAATATTAAATAATGTGTTAGTATATAATTTCTTATATAATTTTAGTTAATATAATATTTTTTACTAACTGTTTTCAAATTACACTGAAGATGAGGCATACCACAGTCTCGAAACGTCTGTAATTTTTAAATAAAGTGTGTGTTAGAAATCTGAGTGTTGTATTGTTTATATTTAACATTTAATTGTTTATCTATGTTTATAAGTAACGAAATTATAAATAACGAGTGCATACATACTCCTGATAAAATAATGCTAAATAACTCTTGATAAAATAATTATAAATAACTTGTGATAAAATAATGATAAATAACGTAAGCACTCGTTCCATACTCGTTTATTATTTTGAAGTAAAACTTTTTTAGGCGCGACTAGGGCGTAAATCCATATAAATGCAACGGAACTAACGCTACGCCAGAACTGTACGTCATTCGCTTTCGATGAAATCATTTCAATGCGGGTCGATTGTGATTAGTCGTCGTGTATGTGAATAGAGATCTGCCGTTGTATGCGTACCGGCATCAACGTTGTATGCGTACCGATATCAAAAAGGAAATCGGCATAGATAAATAAACATTTTAAAGTTACATCGTAGTACAAATCTTGATTTAATGAAAAATGCCTGAATTAAAAGAATATTTTACACTGTTCCTTAAAAATAATAAAACAAATTAAACATTTGTGCCGTGTACTAAAAGTAAGTTTATTGATTAGAAATTATTTCTATATTATTCGTAGTTTCTATAAATCTTTGAAGTTATTAAAATGGAAAATATTTTTTAGGCAAGACATATATTACAACTATTCAAAGAATGAGATTATATTATATTATTCGTAGTTTCTATAAATCTTTGAAGTTATTAAAATGGAAAATATTTTTTAGGCAAGCCAGCGAAAAAGTAAAAAAAAAATACAAGTAGGCAAAGAAGGTATGTTAATTTTAATTACATGAAGTTCTTCAAATACAATTACATGATAAGTGAAGTTGCGAAAACAATATTTGTTTAGGCGTTGTTTAACATAATTCACTGTGTGAACGAATATTTAATTAGTATAGAATTTATTAATCAGCAATTACTTCATTTCTCCAATGAAGGTTCATTTCCAAATGGTAATTACAATGACAAACCGATCATCATATTAGAAGTATGACTTTAATTACATTATTGTTTTTATTATTATACATATTTTAATGCTATTATAAATATATAATTTATATTAACTTCCCGTAGGGTAAGTTATTGTAATGGGCCGAAAATCGGAATTGAAAATTTTTACATTTCTCGACGTTTTGAAGGTTTCTGAACATTTTGGCATACTTCAGAAAAAATGGATGTGTGTGTGTGTGTGTGTGTGTATGCATGTATGGATACAAATTTTCGCCCACGTTTTCGGGCGTACGGATCAACCGATTTGAATGGTTTAAAAAACATTCGATTCCTATTAATAAGGAGAAGAGCTGATTAGTTTTTGGCAAAGGCAGGTCCAGCAGTTACGGAGATAAGGAGCAAAGAGTGCAGAAAATAGAAATCGAGTTTTTGAGAGAACGGAGCATCCGATTTGAATGATCTAAAAAACATTCAATTAGTAATGATTGGGAAAAGGGGTTATTAGTTTTTTGCAAAGGCAGGCCCAGTCATTTCGGAGATACAGAGCTAAATGTACAAAAAATGGCAGTTTTTGAGAGAACTAAGCGTGCGATTCAATTGATTCAAAAAACTTTCTGCTTGTCTTAACAAAATAATTGATTTTGGCAAAAAAAAATTTTGTACCTTTTTTTTTTTTTTTTTTTTTTTAATTTTTTGTATATCGAAAATAATTCAGATTTTATTTTTAATTCTGACTATAGTTCTAATATACTTTAAACAAAAAATTTCAACTCTGCAATGCAGTTTATATAATTCTTATAAATATTAGACAATGTTACAATATTTATAATAATCTATTTGAAAACATTCAATATTCCTCGAACATTTCGTTACGGTACGGGAAGTTCCAGCAATTTGCCTTAAGGCACGATGCCACCCACCCCACTAGTTTATTATTTGCTTTGTACAGTAGCAAATAAGTTTTACTTCAATCGCGTGTGAACCTTACGTTTTTTTTATCTATGGTTATAAATGTTGCACAATGAAGTTGGTCGCTTGTTGACAGTTTGCATAGTTGGTCATCTAAATATGATCAAAATTGCATACTTTGCTTTGTTCGCAGCAATTGGCAGTTGTATGTCACACTCTCATTTGTAACTTCGAAAATCAAATTAAGTCGCTTACTGGTAATAAAATTTCGGCATTAATGAGATGTAAATAGCAATTTCTACCTTTATATTTACTAATGTCAATCCATCGCGAATAGTGTTTAGTGCATTTGTGTTTTCAATACTTATATAAATCCACACCATCTTTCCTGTACCTTGTTCTATTTGACAGAGCATTTGAATATGCTTAGCAAATTCAAATTGTAGCAAAACAATGCCAATTATAATGTTACAACATCAAAATTGGTTTTTAGGTGAATCAAGAACGAGAACAAAAACTTTAAGTAAAAGCTCATTTACTTTTATAATTATGTCTGATTCCGATGCAACAGACCTCAACCGATTCAAGGATCTATTCTTATCCAAGAAACATACAGATGTGACAATACATGTCAAAGGAGAGGTATTACACCATGATTCTATCACTTATAAATTTATGTAATAATGCTTCAATCATTTACAGAATAAAACAACTCATATAAAAAGCCACAAGGCTTTACTAGCTTTGTCGTCATTGGTCTTTCAAGATTTATTAATTACTAATCCTGGTTCAGAATTAACAATAGAAGAGCCGGACATCAAAAACTTCCAAATTTTAATCAAGTAGGTTTGTAACATTATGGTTTGCAGGTCACATTTCATTTCTGTCTTTAATCATTTGTTGCAGATTCATTTATACCCATGAAGTAGACTTCTCTAAATTAAAATCAAAAGACGTCATCATCATCATACAACTCGCAATAAAATACGAAGTACATGAGTTGGTTGAGTATTCTGTCGAAGCTGTATTTAAACAAAAACATTTAACTGAATTATGCTGTAAGAAATGTCTTGCTGATTATTTTAATTTTGCATTCAAAGAGAATATTGAAATTATGATAAAACCATGCTTAGAGGTGAGGAAATAATAATAACAAATTAATAAAACTTATGCTTTATTATTATTGTAATAAACAATTTTGCAGATGATTTCCCGAAACACAGCAAGTTTTTGCAAAGATGATGTCTTTTTGTCATTAAGTCCCGAAGCCCTGAAAACTATTGTGGAACAAGATGATTTAAATATATCAGAAATTGATTTGTATTTATCTGTTCTGAGTTGGGCAGAGCATAAGTATTTCGTAGATAATAATGAAGATAAGCCTGTGCTCACAAAAAAACATGACGTACCATTAAGTTTGCAAATGATGGAAAATAAGACATTTCATATTTTAAAAGTTGAACATTCAGATTCATTACAGCTGGAAGACGAAACCGAAAACATGTATTTTAAAGCCCTATCTGAATTAAATAGAGAAACTGAAGCTGACAATGAAAATAAACCTAAAGACTTTTGGATAATGATTAGAAGTATTTTGGACGAAGCAGATGTAATAAAAAATATTAGATTCTTGGCTTTTGATCCTACTGAGTTTGCTTTTATGTTTGCAGAGAGCAAAATATTAACTGTTGATGAGGTAAGTGTAAAAAATCAAAAGCTTTTATTAATGATATAGTTTTTGGTATAGGAAGTTCCAGCAATTTGCTTTAAGGCACGATGCCATGTACCACTAATATTATTTTAATTCCTGGCACATCTCAGCTATTTTTCGGCAATAATATTGTTATGTATCATTTTTCTCACTCATCATGATTACATTATATTCTAATATTGTCTAGGCTCATAAGAAAATTGAAATTAGATTTTTGAGAAATCTTACACTGAACTCCTAAACGATTATTGGGATTTTGATAAATCTTTTTGAAGTTTGTTAAAAAAAGTTTTTAGGATGTATGTGATTATAAAAATATAGTAGTATTATAGAAGTAAATGAAAAAAAAAACTGCAAAAAATGACATGTCATTGAAAATAGTTTGATAAGCGAGAAATGTCATCTATCAGAAATTTCATTTCACTTATGAGCCTAGAATGTAATCATAATTATGAATGAGAAAAATGATATATGACATTATTATTGCTGAAAAGCAGTTGAGATGTGCTAGAAATTAAAATACTAGTGGTGTATGGCATCGTGCTTTAAGGCAAATTGCTGGAACTTTCAGTACCAAAAATTAAGTTTAAAAAAAAAGATTAAATATGTTCTAAACTTTGAAAAAATTAGATTTTTGAGAAATTATAAATATTGAAAAAAAAACTTTTTTGGAAAAAAACTTTTGGAAAAAAAATTTTTTTAGTTTGAAATATTTTGGAAATTTTGAACTTTTTTTCAAAGCAATCGCACTGCTTTGCGTCTAACGTACAAACGATGTTACGAAACCCATAGAAATGTAAAAAAAAATTGATACACATTATCAAAATCCCCATAAAATATCTGATAATTTGATGTGCATATGTCCAATGATCATTTTTGACCTCAAAATGGCATTTTTTTTACTAAATCTCCGAAACCGCTAGACCTGCCTTTCCAAAAATTTAATCAGTTCATCTTGTCAATACAAGTAAAATGTTTTCTAAATTATTTAAATCAGACGCTTCGTTATCTCAAAAACTGAAGTATCATTTTTGTCACTTCTTGCCTCGTATCTCCGAAACGGCTAGACCTGCCTTTGTCAAAAACTAATCAGCACGTTTCCTTATCAGTAAGAATCGAATGTTTTCTTAATTACCCAAATCGGTTGAGTCGTGTTCGCGAAATCGTCGACGAAAATTTGTATCCGCACACTCACTTTCGCACACATACACACATCAATTTCTTCTAAGGCATGCGAAAACGTTCAGAACCATCTAAAACGTAAGGATATATACAAAAAATCATTTTTGATTTTTTTGCGATTACTATAACTTACCCTACAGGAAGTTAATAAGATACAGTAAATGTTGGCAGATGAAATTATATAATTCAGTTAGACATATCAATTTCTTAAACTTATGCATGTCGTATTTTGCCTTACTTTACTAAATTATTCCACAATATAAAAAATAAATTTACTTATTCAAAAAATTATTTAGAAGTTTTATTGTGCCAAAAATTATTTTGCTTGGCATTGGATATGAAATATTAAGTTAGTTGATCGTAGATTGAATAGTGCACATATGAACGGGATTTGGCAAATTAATTCACTGAAAATATGAAATTAAGTAATAGTATATATTAAATTATTACTAAGAAAAATGTAAATTAGATAATATAATTACTAAAAACCAGTTAAAATATGGTACCAGATTACACAATTTGTGTGTATTGGCAACATCATTGGAGAAATTATTTTGAGTGAAAAAATCCAAGTAATATTGTACTTTCACCGCGGATACTATATATTATTTTTTTCTGAATTTATTATATCGTTTAAAAGACTTCAATTTCTAGTATAGTGTGAGAATTGAGACTCATCTTTTTATTTAAAGCAGTTCTACATTTAACATCACTTATATTGGTGTATATGCATTTTAGTGTGAAGAGTAATTTAAAAACCAATAATTATCATTTTTAGTTAACCGGTAAATATTTGTATAGGGTATTAAAAAATTGTAGATGTGGGTCTGTTGGATCATCTAGTATAAATTATATATTTCAAATATAATTTCTCTTTAGCTTTCAGATATTTTCTTGAATCACAATTCAACATCTCTACAACCACTTTCATCAGGGTTGAGCAATAACAGAACACCTCGCCAAGCTCAAAATAATAATCCCAAACTTTGTGTTCATGCAATTGTTATGTTCGATTTTGTGTCGACCCACAAATTCTTTGAAACTCAATTGCCATTTCCATATCCAGTGGTAGAAACATTTCGTATTGTATCTGAACAACCAATAATGCTAATGGCCATATTTCTAAAAGGGAAAGAAAGATCAAGCACAAGTAAAAATAAGTATGATGACTGTTTACATGTTGATTTTTACAAGAAAACACCAGATTTAAAGGACCGTCAGTTATTTGCAACAGCACACTTTCATGGAAGGCGTAATTATGAAGAGGCTTTGACAATGACAATCGAATATGATTTTTGTGCAAGTGTTAATCCTCTTTTGCATCGTGGTAGTGAAATTGAAATTGAAATAATTGGTTTGAGTGTAGGTGCTTATGTTTGTGGGTTAACAAGGTCATTGTTAAGTGATGCGAATCCTTTTATTGTCCCTAAAGAAGAAATTCAGAAACAATTGACTGTCGGATTTGGGTTCTGCTTCAACATGGAAAAATTGAATAAATAGATACAAGAAGAGGTTGAATGTTGTTTTTTCCTATGTATACTACCTAATTGTAAGTATAGCATACAAATGTTTTTCAAATGCTTCTGAACTTTTATGTAATAAAATATTTGTGTTAAAATATTTCAATGCTATAGCAATAGATATGAGTGAATTTGCTGTAACATATCTAATAAAAGTATATCCCTGTATATATGTTAAGACTTTATAATTGTTTATTTATTGAAAAAAAACAAGCTTGTAATAAAATTTATGGCCGCACAACAGACCAATGTTATGGCAAGGCTATGTTATCAAAAACTTTCCATACTAAATATTGACAAAAGTATGCGGTAGCTGTGCAGTCAGGCGCATTTCTCAGGTTGTCAGGTAGAAAACATAATTTAGAAACCGTACAAATGTGAAAAAAACGATCTTAGATAACAGGGTCTTTCTGACTCAGCTTCATAACATACGAGTGACGTTGCAGTTTATGTGCGAAACGCCTGAATTCACAGCAAATGCATGACATTTTGACAATATTCAGTATGATTATTGTAGCAAAATGTATGCAAGTGGGAGCGTAACATGGCCTTCCATAACATTGGTCTGTTATGCTGCAAAATCGGTCCATTAGATAGAAATCTAACCTAGAAAACGCACAAATGTCAAAATAACGATCTTAGACTACAGGGTCTTTCTGGCCCAGCTTCATAACATACGAGTGACGTTGCAGTTTATGTGTAAAACGCCTTAATGCACAGCAAATACATGACATTTTGACAATATTCAGTATGATTATTGTAGGATAATGTATGCAAGTTGGAGCGTAACATGACCCTAGACAATATACTAATACATGAACATGACCTTACCATAACATCGGTCTGTTATGCTGCAAAATCCGGTCCATTAGATAGATACCTAACCTAGAAAACGCACAAATATCGAAAAAACGATCTTAGACTATAGGATCTTTCTGGCCCAGCTTTATAACATACGAGTAACGTTGCAGTTTATGTGTAAAACGCCTGAATGCACAGCAAATACATGACATTTTGACAGTATTTAGTATCATTTACAGGCATATTGTGAGCAAGTTGGAGCGTAACATGACCTTGCCATAACATTTTTCTGATATGGTGCTGAATCGGCCCATTAGGTTGCAAACCTAACCTAAACAACAGCGTCTTTCTGACCCAGCTTCATAACATACGAGTGGCATTGCAGTTTATGTGTGAAGCGCCTGAATGCACAGCAAACGCATGACATTTTGACAGTATTCTGTATGATTCAGTTAGCATAATGTATGGAAGTTGGAGTGTAACATTGTCTTGTCATAACATTTTTCTGTTATGTGGCAGAATCGGTCCGTTAATAGTTATAACAAGTTAAAGACTATATTATTAACTTCCCGAAGGAGAAGAAAAAATCCGATTCGCTAATTTTATGTTTTCTCGACTGTTCAAGCCATTCTGAATCAAATGAAACCAAAATTGGAAAAAGTATGTGTGTGTACGTGTGTGTGCGTGTATGTGAACAGATATTTTGCCGTAAATCGATGTTTTCTCAAAAACGACCGGACCGAATTCAAGAATTTAAAAGCCATTCGATGTATCGCGATGAAGACTAGCGTTTATCAATTTTGCGCGACGATCGGCCTAGCCGTTTCTCTGTAAATAGCAAAATTGTGAAAAAAATTTCGTCCACGTTTCAGCCCGCAATTCTGAATCGATTTTGAAAATTCAAAAACCGTTCGAAAAATATTGGTTAGGAATCGACCTGATTAGTTTTTGGTAAAGATCGGCCGGGCAGTTTTCTTGTAATAAAGTGTTAAAAAAAATTTCGACGATTTTCATGAATATTTTTTTTTGATAGATATCATAGTCTTCTTGATCATACTAAAATATTACGGTCTTACGACAAGTCGTTTAATTTTAAAAATTCTTCAAAGTTTGCAAAAATTAGTATCGTTTTTTGGCATTTGTCAAAATTAGACTTTTCATCAAAGTTTGTTCAAAAACGCCTGAACCGATTTCAGAAATTTAAAAGCCATTTGATGTATCTTAATGAGGCCATTGTGTGTCAGTTTTGTGCGATGATCTGCCAAGCCGTTTCTTTGTAATTTGAAAAAAAAGTTTTAAACTTTTCGTCCATATTTAAGCTCATGCTACCGAATCGATTCTGAAAAATGAGAAACTGTTCGGAAGACATTAGTTGGGAATGATACTGATTAGTTTTAGATGAAAATCTACCGAGCGGTTTTCTTGTAATTAACTGTTGAAAAAAAATTTCAGCCGATTTTTATGGAACTTTTTTTGATAAGACCATGATATAAATGAGTTGTTTTTTGGACGTTTGTTAAAATTGATATTAGACTATTTGCTTGGTACAACGACAGAGTGATCGTTTATTTTCAATGATGTGTTATAAATCCACTCGAAATACTTTTATTCACTCATAAATTAATTTATACTTCATTGATTAAGTCGATTATTTACACATATCGAGAAGTTCAAGCAACTTGCCTCAAGGCAAAATACCAATACCAACTAGTTTGTGGGTTTGTTCAACAATAAACATACATTTCATTATTGTTACTTTTTATGTATACAATTCTATAAATTATATTTATCTTCATGCAGACATCTATTTATTATTTTTATATTAAACTATAAACTAGTACTGTTAATGTTAAGAGCTATAGATAGGTAAAGACCTTGACAAGAGCCTGAAATAATATCTATTATTATTGATTACGGCTTGCTTATGAATAAATAAATAAATAAATAAATAAATAAACATAAAGATGTTAAGAGCTTTAGGGGGCGTCCACTAATCACGTGATGTTTTTAGGGGGAGGGGGTGGTTAACAAAAATCACGAAATATCACGTGGGGGTGAATATCACTTCGTATCACCAAGGGGGTGGTCCAAAATTCCTTAAAAAATCGATCACGTGATTAATGGACGCCACCTTAGGTACATCTTTTCTTTGAGTACGTAATATAACATTTCGACTTTCACTGTTTCATCAATTTTTATATTTTCTAGGTCTTTAATAAAAAGAGGATCTGGCCTAGTGGCACAGGATATTGAATATAGAGTTATTAATTCATTAATTTGAAAAATAACATCTATTTTTTTGGAGGCTTACTGAACTGTAAAAAGCATTCAATTCTCATTGATAGGGGATCGCGATTAGTTTTCTGCAAAGGCAGGTCCAGCCGTTTTAGAGATACGGAGCAATAAATAGGTAAATTTACATTTGTTTATGTATGGGTAAATCTCAGTTCTTATAGGTTTATACTTGTTTCTCTATGTGGGTAAGGTACACATGATTATTTACATGTATCAGGAAGATTTTGTATATTGTCTTGAGGAAATATGCAATTTACAACTAGTTTCTTTTCGTTTTCAAAGAAATTTTGTCTTACAAGGTAACCATCAGGTAAACATAAATAAATAATAATATAAAACAATATAAAATAAAAACTTCAAGGCTTACAGTTTGCTGGATGATATTTTTATTATAAAAAAATGAAAAACATAAAAATATATTGCAGTGCACACTTTTTAAAGTGTAAAAGCACACTTTAAAAATGCTTTTGTTAGCAACTTTCCTGAATCCTTGTATTTCTTTCTACAACTAAAGCTAACTAACTAAACCAACGCGTGTTTCATGGAATGTTTTTTAAATTTTTGAGATCGGGTGTGTCCATTTTAAAAAAAAAACGTCGCATGAATGTTAAATTTTGTTTAACACAGACATACGGGTCCCTAATTTTGGTCTCAAAACGCCGACAAAATATAAAATTATCAAATCGGATTTTGTGGCAAAAAAGAGATAAGTTTCTGTTTATTAACTTTGCGTGGAGTAAGTTGTTGTAATCGTCCAAAAATCGAAATTGAAAATTTTTGAATTTTTTCACGTTTTGAGGGTTTCTGAACATTTTGGCATACCTCAGAAAAAATGGACGCGTGTGTGTGTTAATGTGTGGAGACAATTTTTTGTCCACGTTTTCGGACGCACGGATCAACCGATTTGAATGATTAAAAAAGCTTTCGATTTCTATTAATAGGGAGATGTGCTGATACGAAACAAAGAATGCAGAAATCGAGTTTTTGGGAGAACGGAGCATCCGATTTGAATGATCTAAAAAACATTCAATTCGTAATGACGGGTAGAAGTGGTGATTAGTTTTTGGCAAAGGCAGTCCAGTCGTTTTGGAGATACCGAGTTAAATGTGCAAATAAATGCAGTTTTTGAGATAACTGAACATCCAATTTGAATGATTCATACAAGTTTCTGCTTGTGTTAACAAAACAATTAGTTTTGATTTTTTTTTCTATATTTCAAAATCAATTTTTTTTTCAAAAAAATTTGTTTTTGTATATCGAATAGTTCGGATTTTAATTTGAATTCTAGCTAAAGGTCTAAAGCTCTCTTATATACTTTGAATGAATAATTTTAACTTTGCAACTCAGTTTATATAATTCTTACAAATATTCGACAATGTCCTTTATTTTAAATCTGATTGATTAAGTTTTGTTTATTTACTTTTCTGTAAATATATTTTAGTACGGTACGGGAAGTTTCAGTAATTTGCTAAACGCACGATGCCGTACAGCGTACACCCACATATACCTATAGGTAAATAAGCTTACACCACTAGTTTATCTTTTATCCAGGCGGTATTGAGTCCGACATACCCAGACAAAAGACCAGTTTGGAATGCATTGGCATAAATGCATTTCCTTCGCTATACAAAAAAACATATATATATAGTATATCTATGGATCGTAAAAAGTAGAGTCTATGGACTGAAATTACTTTTTGAAAAAATTCGTGTGTGATCATCTTTATATAAAGTTTGTGTCTCTCTGCGCCCTCATTTGAATATGTCAACGTGACAGTTGTGACATTTTACATTGCGTCAAATTTATTTGTAAAAATAAAATTGAGCAATGCCACGCATTAAACTTCGATCAACTTTATAATATTTATGTAACTAAATTAATTAATTATTAGAAAATACAAAAAACAAGCAATGGTGACGTAGTTATTATAATTAAATTAGAAAGATATAACAAAGGCTAGTGTGTGATTGGTTTCGTGTATTGGATTTGTTGAAATTAAATTATTTCTATTAAAATGACGGGGACTACACCAGGAGAGACTGTTACCGAAGGCCACACAGTGTATTCAAAAGTTGCAAGTGCTCTATTTTACGGTTTTGCATCTTTTATGATCACTGTAGTCAATAAAACGATTCTAACCTCTCATCATTTTCCATCGTTCCAAGTTTTAGGACTAGGACAGATGATGGCTACGATTATTTTATTGTTCTGCGCCAAGAATTTGTCAATAGTCAAGTTCCCTGATTTTGAAAAGTCCACGTTCAGGAAGATCTTCCCATTACCTTTTATTTATCTAGGTAACATGGCCTTCGGTCTTGGAGGCACACAGTTTCTGAGCTTGCCCATGTTTACGGCTTTAAGAAGATTCTCAATACTTTTCACAATGATTTTGGAGCTTAAGATCTTGAAGATATATCCTAATAAAGGTGTGCAGATCAGTGTGTATGCTATGGTCTTCGGAGCCCTGTTAGCAGCCAGTAGTGACTTATCATTCAGCTACATCGGTTATTCGTACGTTATGCTGAATAATATATTCACTGCTGCCAATGGAGTGTATATGAAGAAGAAGTTAGATGCTAAAGACTTAGGAAAGTATGGCTTAATGTTTTATAATGCTTTATTCATGCTTGGACCGTCCGTAGCCTTAGCATATTGCACTGGAGATATCGATAAGTCTTTGCAATATGAACATTGGGACGATATGTTTTTCTTAGTACAATTTTTATTATCCTGCGTTATGGGTTTTGTTTTAACCTACAGCACTATTTTATGTACTCATTACAACAGTGCGTTGACTACGACAATTATTGGCTGTTTGAAAAACATTTGTGTCACTTATTTGGGTATGATAATAGGTGGTGACTATGTTTTTTCGTTTGTGAACTTTCTAGGAATCAATGTGAGTGTTCTTGGGAGTCTTTTATATACTTATGTTACATTTAGAAGAAAAGAACCTGTTGCAAAACAACAAGCAAAGATTGAATCAGTTTGAGAGGAAATTTTTGTACAGATCTGTAATATTTTTTACCAAAACAAGTTTTTGAAAATTTAAACATATTGTCTGTGAGTATTTAGGATTTTACTAAAACAAAAACGAGAATGTCTATGAAATATAAAATATATAATAATGATAAATTGAATCGGCAACCTATATTTATTAATAAATTCGTTTATCTATATAATTTTTGTGGACATTCTCGTCAGCATGAAAAAATAGCGAACTGAACTCTATTAACACTTGTAAATAATAAAACATGCAAACATTTTGAGAAAAAACTCAATTTGTTTGCAAATTGGCCAAAAACTTGAGAAATTTGCTAAATTATAAAATAATTATGCATTTAGATAGATTATTATATAATTCACTCCTACCACTCGGCTGTCCCTCTGAGAGGACTACGTAACTGGGAGTTTGTGTGCCTTTTCTGAGGTACTCGGAAGTTTTTTTTACACAATGACTTAGTTTGTACTGACTAGATCAGGGATGAGCAACACGCGGCTCGCGGGCTTTTTAAGGCATTTTGAATATCTTTCTGCGGCCAGCCAAGTAGAATTTTATTTATTTCATCAACTTTCATCCATCAATCAATTTTTTATAATGTATTAATTTGTTGTTGCAGTAATTTATGAAATATTTTTTTTTTTCATTTAGTATTTTTATATTTAATGTTTATTTGTATATATCAACGGCGCCGCCGCCGCTCAGCGACAGTATTGTTAGTGTTTGTATTTTTGTTCAGTTTACATAATATGATATGAAGAAATGATTTTGTTATTGCATATATATAATAATTTAAACTTTATCGATTTTTGACATTATAAATGGACACGTGAGGAACTCTTTTTTCAATATTCATAGGACATATTATTGTTATATGTTTATGTTAAAAATTATTATTAAGTACAGCCTGCTATTTAATTTAAAAAATTCAATAAGACCCGTGAGTTATAAAGGTTGCTCATTCTTAGAGAATTTATTCAGTGATAAGACAGTAATATTCTCTTTACAAAATTTGTTATTAGTTATTTTCATAGTATTTTTTTTACTCTTTTTATTATTAATCTTTTGTTCTACAGTAAAATGACCAAGCTTAAAATGAAACTTTTATCAAAAAAGACAGAGACCATAGACCTTACACTACATGGACTGCTAGTCGAGCGCAAAATAAGTGTCAAAAGATTGAAGGGGACTGTGACGTCACTGAATGAACGGGCGTTGCCGACAATCGTGGAAGACTCCCGATTGATTAAATGTTATATGTCATGTGCTTAACCTAAAATTAAACGTCTATGCATAGACCTTATAACATTTTCTTATCAATGCCTTATAATTAGGCTTGCACCGAATATTCGGTTACTATTCGGTATTCGGCATATTCGGCACCTTTTTTGATATCGGCCGAATAGTAACCGACTATTCGGCCGAATACCGAATAGTTAAAATCAAAGAAACCGCCGCCGCCGCCCAGCGAAAATATTGTGTGTGTTTCATATTTTATATATATATAATAAAGAGTTTGCGATGGATCTGCATATTTGGAAGTCTATAATTTACATAATATGATATGAAGAAATGAAATACAATCGTTATTGTATTTTGTATATTTAATAATTGACTATTGTGATTATAAATAAACACGTTAAGAACTCTTTTTTCAATATTCAAAGGACACGTTATTGTTATATGTTTATGTTATTTGTCAAAAATCATTCAACGATTACAAGCCCGTGTTATGTCTAAATTCAATAAAGTCATTCATTATATTCAATCTAAGCATTTCTAAATAAAGAGATATCATAAGCTTTTTATCGCAAAACATGCGAACAATATTTTTGGTCCTTATTTTCCAAATAAGAAAGAGTAACTAGTCGTTGCAAGCCTGGGCATAAAAATTCAATATACATGTAGTACGTTAGTAATATAACAACTGCAAATAGTAATTACTTTACGAACGAGTTTAGGCGAATATTCGGTATTGGGTTTCTGAAGCATGCCGAATATTCGATATTCGGCATTTTGCCGAATATACTATTCATTGCAAGCCTACTTATAATATATAAACCGATTTTAACAGGTGAATTCGATTTTATGTACATTTATTTCACAGAGGAAATATTAATAATATATTTTCTTACAAAATTATCAGTCCACAATTCCCAATATATTATTGAAACAATATTATCACAAATAATATTTGAATCAAATTAACTATTATGAAAAATATTATTATATATTATTTATATCATCTCTTATAAAATTATCAGTTTACACAATCGCAATTATTATTACATTATTAAAATAAAACACATGACATATGACATTTAATCAATCTGGAGTGTTCCACGATTGTCGGCAACGCTCGTTCACTAAGTGACGACACAGTCTCCTTCTACCTATTGATACCTTATAAAATGAAAAACATATGGGGACTAGCAGTCCATGTAGTGTAAGGTCGATGACAGAGATACATAAAAACGATCTGTTACAACTTTCTGTAAAATGTTAAAAAAACTGTCACTGTGCTAATTAATTATAACGACATTGGTTTCAACCCTTATGAAAATTGCTATAAACTTTAACATTCTGCCGAAAATAAATTTAGATATTATTGTAAATGTATGTTCTTCATAGTCCACAAATTCATTTAAAACTAATTGCCTAACATACACCATAATATCAAGTTTACAGAAGGCACGTTTTTGTCAGAATGCGGCACCGAGTTCCTAGTAAATTATTTTTGAATCAGTGCCGAGTGGTGAGGACTAATCTTACAAGAAAAACTTTGAATTTACTCGTCTGTGATGGGGATAGAGTTAATAATAAAAATTATAGTGTTTTCTGTCATTGTGTTGTAATGATCTAGTGGTTAAGTGATCGGTCCATAGACAGTATAATACATGAAGTATAAGTTTTTTATAATGTGTTAATTTGTTGTTGCAGTATTTTTTTTTAATTTAGTATTTTATTATAATTATGTATTATAATGTTTATTATGGCGCCGCCGCCGCTCAGCGATAGTATTGTTGGTGCTTGTATTTGGAAGTGTTCAGAGTACATAATATGATATGAAGAAATGATTACGTTATTATATATATTATATATATATATATATATATATATATATATATATATAATAATTTAATCTTTATCGACTTTTGACATTATAAATGGACACGTGAAGAACTCTTTTTTCAATATTCAAAGGACATGTTATTGTTATATATTTATGTTAAGACTCATTCAACTGTTACAAGCATGTGCTTACAAGCTTGGCTATTTTAGTTTTCTGGCCTGGATAGCATGCTAGATTTTATCGCGTTAGATTTTATGACAGTTTTTCAAGCCGTTCAAATCATACTTGCTTGCTCTGAGCCAGATTTGTATTAGCTTGCTAGACTTTTAAATGTGATGAACCACATGCCAAAATACTGCTATTCTATTGGTTCGAGCGAACGAATTCATCCACAAAAATAGCGTTCAAAGTCCAAATCACACGAAGCTTGTTTCGTTGATTTTTTGGTCTGCTGGCGAGTTAGAATCTGGTTATGGAAAAGTTAGAAGTGCGCTATTTTTGAAGATGAATTTGTTGGTTTGAACCAATAGGGAGGCAGTATTTGGTCATGTAGTTTATAATATTTAATAAACTAGCAAGCTGAAATAAATCTTACTCAAAAATCTAAACAACTCACATAAAAATTAAGCATGCTGTGAGCCAGCCCAGAAAACAAATGTCGTGCGATTCGAGTTTTATTCATAGGTCTATAATCCATCCACAAAAATAGCGCAAGTTCTAATATCAAAATCTCGCTTGCTAGAAACAAATGGAGATTGATACGATGTCATTTTGCCAACTTGATAACCAGCATGCCATCTTACTCACCAAACAAAGCAAGTGCTGTGTGAACGGGCCTTAAGGTCTATGGATCGGTCTCCTCTCCTAATTTCAATATATTTTATGCTAGTAATTGTTTTTTACAATCATGCTAGTGTTTAAACAGTTGGTTAAAACAGTGTTTAAACTCGGTATAATTAATTTTTAAATATAATAAAATTAGAAGCCCATCGCCCTAACCACTAGATCATCCCAACCATAGATAAAAGAAGCATAAATAGATCACAAACACCGCTGCTTTTTTATTACCTCAAATTTTATATCGTTTCCACACTCCATAGGGGCGCCACTAACTGTAGCACGTAAATTTACCCATAGGTTTAATTCCAGATAAGATTTATGTAAATATACTAGATGACCCGACAGACGTTGTCCTGTACCCACGTCTACAATTCAAAAGTTCCAAATTTTTTAATATATGCAATTTTGGACTTATTACGTTATTTTTTAAACTAAATTATATAATTTCATCTTTCAAAAATTTACTGTTGACTCAAAATACATTATTTTAATTTCTGGCACATCTCAACTGCTTTTCGGCAATAATAATGTAGACATTACATTTTTCGTGTATATTATACTCTAATATTATCTAGGCTCATAATTTCAGTTAAATTCAAATTTCAAAAGAATTGATATTTCTAGCAGATTACAGTTCAAATGTTTTCAATGTCAAACAATGATAAGTGTTTTTTGTAATTTTTGCCATTTATTTGGCTAACTCTAAAAAAGAATTATCAAAATCCGAATAACCGTTTAGGAGAAGTATCAAATCATACACCAGTACAGAAGAATTTTATATATAAGATAATATAGAAAATATAAACCTAAGTAATTTGAAAACAAGTTATACGCGTATACAATACATTTTTAAGCATTTGTATTATTGTAACAAAATCAGTTCTTTAAAAAGAGTCACCACTCTTTATGCACAGTAGACCTCTCTATTGAGTGCGGAAAATACTAAAACAGGGTAAGCACATTTGTTATGTGTTATACATAACGACTGAAAACACTATAATTTTCTAATCAAAACACTTCCCATAGGCCTATAATAATTTAAAATGGAATTCTGTCTCACTATCGAGTCTATCACTAAGTTTCATCAACATCCCAGATGAGTAAATTTGTGTGGAGTTTTCTTGTAAAAAATATATAAATATATAAAATATTTAAAGCTATTATTTGTATTATAGTACAAACAGGGCCATACATAGTTCCCTTTCTTTTTTTTTCAAAATAATTTTAAAAATTGTTATAAATTATAACAATTGTAAAGCCAAACTATTTGTATATAATTCTTATCGTTGTTAGTCCAGTTATTATGGTAAGTTCACCTCGGAATTCGAGATACCCAGCTGTAAGTCTGTAAATACTTGTATATTGACACCCTAAAGTTGTCACAAAACCTACATATGGTAGGGTGTCAATACAATATGTAGTTACATATAGTAGGGTGTCAATACCATATGTAGGTTTTGAGACAACTTTAGGGTGTCAATATTCAAGTATTTACAGACACACAGCTGGGTATCTTGAATTCCGAGATTCTTACCGAATTTAAGCTTAAATGGCTGGACTATGTAGTTTATTCCATTTTAAGTATAATTGGCATTATAAATTTCGATTTGTATTATTCTTACCAAATTTAAACTTTAAGTTATAGATGTAATTTTAGATTTGTTAATTTGAAATGTTGTGATTATTTTAAAATCCTGCATAAAAACCAAATATAGGTGTAATTTGTGTTAGGCGCCATAATTTTATTGTGATTTTAAATAATCGATTAACTATAGATATTCCTAATTATATATACATATATATTAGAGCGGATCGATTTGTATGGGTCAAAAAATGTCGCTTAGGCACATATGATTTTCGGATACTACAGACCAAACTAGGCACTCTAAATGGGTCAAAACGGTGTTTTTCGAATTTGACCCCAATCTTTGGGTCAATGCCCGGAACATCTGAATTCATTTTAGAGGTATTACAAAATTAGTGGGGGTCGGTCATACATTTGGACGCGATTGGGGCACTCTAAATGGGTCAAAACGGTGTTTTTCGAAATTTGACCCCAATCTTTGGGTCAATGCCCGGGACATCTGAATTCATTTTAGAGGTATGGTTTCTTCAGCAAAGTATCTTATTTTGATTTCTAGTATCATAAAATCGTATGTGCCTAAGCGTCTATTTTTGACCCATACAAATCGACCCGCTCTAATATATTATTATATTATGTTCTTTAAGTAGTTTATTGTTACATTTTCCTGATTTTAATATATTCATACTCTATATGTTTACCTGAATAAAAAATGTTATCTCGAATTCTTCTCGCTATCGTTTAATTTCATTTATCCATTTCCTTGATATTATTAACTTCCCGATGTTTGTTTTTATCAAAATATCCGATTCGCTCATTTTATTTTTTCTTCAAATTCTTCAAGCCATTCTGAATCGAATGAGACCAAATTTGGAAAAAGTATGTGTATATTTTGTAAGCTGAAACGTGCACATTTTGGCTAATTACAAAAAAACCGCTCGGCCGATCGTCGCACAAAACTGACAATCGAGATACATCGAATGGCTTTTAAATGCTTGAAATCGGTTCAGGCGTTTCTGAAAAAACGTCGATGAAGTGTCTAATTTTGAAAAACGCCAAAAAACGTCACTAATTTTAGCAACTTTCGACGAGTTTTCAAAATTAAACGACTTGTTGCAGAGTCATAATATTTCAGTATGATCTAGAAGACCATGATATCTGGCGTCAAAAATCGCCGAAAAAAATAATTTTCAACAGTTAATTACAAGAACTTGTGCCAGCGAATCTTTACCAAAAACTTAATCGGGTCGGTTCTCAACCAATACCTTTCGAACAGTTTTTGAGTTTTCAAAATCGATTCAGAATTGCGAGCTAAAACGTAGACGTTTTTTTCAGTTTTTTGCTATTTACGAGGAAACGGCTTGGCTGATCGTCGCGCAAAATTGTTATGCGCTAGTCCTCGTCGAGATACATCGAATGGCTTTTAAATTTGTGAAATAGGTGCAGTCGTTTTTGAGAAAACGTCGATTTACGGCAAAAAATCTCTTGATGCACACGCACACACACATACATACACACACAATTATAACATGGAGTATAACAAGTTAAAAATTAGACCATTATAGATCCTCCCCCCACGAAGTAATGCCTAACAGTGGTTTCCGTGGGGACCAGAGGCAAGGACAAAATGGAGGTTGGGCAATGGACAAAAAAAAACACACACACAAACTTTTTCCAAATTTGGTCTCATTCGATTCAGAATGGCTTGAAACGTCGAGGAAACATAAAACTAGCTAATCGGATTTTTTTATGAAAACATAAACTTCTCCTTCGGTAAGTTAATAAGACAAAATATAAATTATGTACAACCAATTTCTAAAATAATAATAAACTAAAAATGCATGTGTAAAAAAACGCGCCGTAGAATCATTACGAAGTATAGATAGGACTAAATTAGAGCAACGTGTTTCGTTTCAAATCCGCCAGAGGACAGTTTGCTCGTTACCTTTTTTTTATTTATTTTAATAACTTTTTACAACTGTCCCGACACGGACAACAAGTTTGCAAAATACAAATCTTCCTGTCATTAATTATAAAAAAGGCTCGTTATTACCTATTGAAAATCTACTCTTATTTATTTATAAATAAGAAAAATTATACTTATTTATTTATCTATGGCCAAAATCTACCACGTGTTTGCAAAATTATATAGTCCATGATTCTTCCCCATTTTTCATGTTGTCACACCTTATTTTACGCCTGTATGGGGATGAAACAGAAACTTCAGAGTGCTTTTGGATTTTTGGAGTTTGCATTGAAACAAGAAGTAGAAGAAGTAAGTAAATAAAACAAACTAATAACATACATAAAATATTCAATTAATACATTGAATTCAACATTTGTGTACAAGATATAACGATATCTCAAAATGTTTGAAGAAACAAATTCAAACGCAACAATTAAAATGGAACCAGTCGAACATCCGCACGGAGAAGAGGAATTTGATGGTTATGATGATATGCAGGAAAATGATGAGGTATATCTACAGAGATTTATAAAATCTGAAATAATAATTGAGGAAGAGATGGAACAAGAAACGTTTGATGATGCATCAAATTCAGATGAAGAAACCTGTTTGGATATGGACACAATATATCTACAAAGATTCCTAAAATCTGAGGTAACCATAGATGAAGATATAAAACAGGATGTAATCCATAATCAAGACACTTTTGTAAACGACACAAATTCAGATAAAGATTATTGTATCCAAAAGGGTGTTATATATTTACAGCAATTTTCAGAATTTGAAATGAAATTTAATGAAAAAATGTTGCAAGAAAGTTGTGATGATCGAGACGATGATACTAGTATAAATGACACTGGTACAGATTCAGATGATATGCAAAATAATGTAATATATCTAGACCAATTTTTAGAATTTGAAATAAAAATGAATGAAAAAATACAGCAAGAAGCTACTTATGATCTAGATGCTGATGAAATGAGTTTCGATCTGGAATTTAATTCGATCAGTCATGTAGCGGATGATATAAGTGAATGCAACCAATTTTTAGGAAGAGTTTTATAAAAATGTAGAACTACATGCAATTTCAAACAATCTAATAAGTGTGAGACATGCAACAAAACTTTTTATAAGACATCAAAGCCATTATAAGACTTAATCCATAATCAAGACACTTTTGCAAATAACACAAATTCAGATAAAGAATGGTGGAATAAATGAATAAAAAAATACAGCAAGATATATATAATCTAGATACTGATGAAATGAGTTTTAATCAGGAACTTCATATAGCGGATGATATAAGCGAATGCAACCAATTTTTAGGAAGAGTTTTATAAAAACGTAAAACTATCTTCTGTAATGTAAATGTTCTGTAATTTGACTAACCTCATAAATGTGAGACATGCAACAAAACTTCTCATAAGAAAGATTCACTCAAAAGGCATCAAATGATCCATTGTGGGGGTAATTTTAAATTTACACCTTTTAAATGTGAGACTTGTGATAAAGCATTCAAGATAAATCGGACAAATTCATACTGGAAACCTACTTTATGAAATATGCAATAAAATATTCAGGAACTATGGCCCTGTTAATTCAACATGAAATGATGATATGGATTCATACAAGAAAACATCCTCGTGGATGTTGATTATGCAATAATCATTTGCATATTTAATCAGCTGATTGTATAGCCTAGGCTATTTAAGATAGTTTAAGTTATCATCATAATTAAAGTCATTATAAGATGTAATCCATAATCAAGACACTTTTGTAAATGACACAAATTCAGGTAAAGAATATTGTAAGCAAGATGAGGTTATATATTTAGATCAATTTTCAGAATTTAGAGATGAAATTTAAGGAAAAAATATTACTTGATTATTTGATAAAATAGTGATGAACTATGGCTGTTTTAATTCAAGATGAAATGATGAAATCGATTTATATGAAAAAACATCCGTTTAGATCATTTGCATATATGATCAGCTGATTGTATAGCCTAGGTCATTTAATATATATAGTTCAAGTCATCATCATCATCAAAGCCATCATAAGATGTAATCCATAATCAAGACATTTTTCTAAATGATACAAATTCTAAAATAGTAATATGCATATACAATCAGATTTATTATTTATTAAATAATAAATTATAAATCATATTTATTACATGTGCAACACGTAATAAAGCATTCAAAATCAAACAAGATTTAAAAATTCATGAAAACATTCATAACAGAAAGAGCCCTTGTGAATATACACTATGTAATAAACTATTTATACAATGAAGTCAGTTAAAATCACATTTATTAATACACACCAGAGAATGTTTTCGTGAATGTGCAATGTGCAATAAAATATTTACAGCAAAAATTACAATAATCGAACTTACATTAATCCATAGTAGGATCAACTTCATCAATGTGTGATATGCAACAAAACAATTGCACGATTGATTGTATAATTTGGAAAACCACATGCCTATTTGTACCTCGTGAATATAAAATTTGCAATAAGACACTCTCAAGAATTAAGTAATCTAAAAAAGGACATGAAAATTGGAGGACAGGAATATTGGAGATCGACCTCATCAATGTTTGATATGCAACAAAACTTTTGCACGATTACATAATTTGGACAATCATATGCCTATTTATCCCCATGAATGCAAAATGTGCAATAAGACATTGTCAAGAATTAAGCAATCTAAAAATGACATGAAAATTTATACTAGAAATATAAAATATGCAATGAGGCAGACATGATGAAAATAAACCAAGGTGTGAATGTAAAAGAAAGAGTCTGTTCGGTGATATTTTTATTTGGTGATAATTTATATCCATATATAATATTGATATAAATCCATGAGATAAATTTAGAATTGTTTAATTTGATGTTTAGGTAATTATTTATGTTTTTAACTATTTATTATATGTTGTATTTATTTAAAATAAATTTTTGTGTTTGTAAACAGTATTTTTTTTTTGATATTTTTTTAAGTTTGAATCTCAAAACTGTATAATATTGATATAAACTAGTGATGTATGGCATTGTGCCTTAAGGCAAAGGTAATGAAATGTTATAAGAATTTTAAATGTTTTCAAATATATTATTATAAATACTGTAACTTATTCCTATTTTATAGAGTAAAATATAAGAGCTTATGAATGACCGTTGTCATTCATATCATTTATACGTATGTTTACATGAAAAGTGAATAGACAGAACTTAATCAAGCGGATTTAGAATAGGATCCGAAAATCTTATCTCATATTTTTAAAAATTACATAAACTGAATTGTAAAGTTAAAATTAATTATTTGAAGTATATAAATAAGCTTTAGAATTTCAGCTAGAATTAAAATTAAAATCCGAATAATTTTTGATATTAAACAAAAAATTGCTTGGAAATTAAATGAAAAAAATTAAAAAAAAAATCTGTTTAAAAACATTTAAATCGGATGCTCAAAAACTACAATTTTTTGCACATATAGCTCTGTATCTCTGAAACGGCTGGACCTGTCTTTGCCTAAATCTAATCAGCAGCTCTGCCCGTGAATACGAATCAAATGTTTTTCTGAATCATTCAAATCGGTTGATCTGTGCTCTTGCAAACGTGGACGAAAAATAGTATCCATACACACATATGTTACACCCATTTTTCTAAGATATGCCAAAATGTTCAGAACATGTTGAAACGCGAAGATATGCAAATATGTTTCCTTTTCGATTTTTAGGCGATTACTATAATTCACCCTAAGTTATTGTAGTATTTGATTAGTTATTTATATTAAATTAATTCATTATTTATCTAGGTTTAAGGCAAGCTGCATATATTTTTCTAATGTTTTTAAGTTTGAAAACTAATTAAGATAATTACATTGTTAGTTCTACCTATTTCTAGTAAATTTATATAAATTATACACAATCTATTATGTCGAACATTTCCACGTATAATATACAGTAAAAAATTCATGCAACTTTAATAAAAAATGTCACCTACATCTAGTTAACTATCCGCAGGTTAAATTATAGTTATGGGCTAAAAATCGAAATTGAAAATTCTTGCATATCTTCACGTTTTAGAGGTTTCTGAACATTTTGGCACATCTCAAAAAATTGATGTATGTGTGGAAACAGTTTTTCGTCGACGATTTCGGGCGTACGGATTTCCTGATTTGAATGGTTAAAAATATTCGTTCCTCTTGATGAGAGACGTGCTGATTAGTTATCGACAAAAATGTAAGTTTTTTAAAAGAATGAATCAACCGATTTAAATGATCTAAAAAATATTCGATTTGTAATTAGGGGAGGAGAAGTGGTGATTTGATTTTAGCAGAGGCAGGTGCAGCCGTTTCGGAGATATTGAGCTAAACGTGCAAACAATGACTGTTTTTGAGAGAACTAAGCATGTTTTTGCTTGTGTTGACAAAACGATTGCCATAGGGAAATATTTGTTTCCTTTTTTTTTTGATTTTCAAAAAAAAAAATTTCTTGAATATTGAAAATAATTCTGATTTGCCTCAAGGCACGATTTAAATCATTCATTTTTATCTAAACCTATAAGCGACTGCTGTGTGTCAAGACCTATATACGACTTTGTGTGTCAACTCCCTAATAAGAAAATGAACTAACTTCATGTCGTTTGAGTGAAATGGATTTGTCATTGTCAAAATTGCATCAACAAACCGTTCACATCAAGAAATAAAGGTAAATAATTTTATTATCCATAATTTATTCACTGATTTAACAATATAATAATTTCTTAGATGATTAATCTAACCGAAGACTTAAATTTCGACGGCTACACTCTCCTTATAGCATGTGTATCCGTCGGTAACCTCTCACAAATGTCAGCCGACTTACTCATAAATTCTTTAAAAATGAAAAGACTAGGCACAATGTGGCACCCTGCATGTGCCCCCATATCAGGTGTCAACCCTTACGGCTACAATCATCAAACTGACACCACCAGCAACTACTTAACATCCCTAAACACAGCTTTGGAGATTTTCCATGATGCCAGTAAAAAGATTGCAATACTACAAATGAGATCATCTATAAACAATCTATTGAAGCAAGAATTTGTAGATAAATTAGTAGAATTTTTAAGCGGCAAGAACTTTACGAGGATTCTAATTCTCAGCAGCTGCTACAGTTGTAAATTGACACACTTGTGTGATGCTGTTTACAGAGGTACTTCGGCCATGCATTACACAGGTTGCAATGATGTGGATGATGTTCTGTCGAAGTCTCCAAACTGGATTAGATATGATAGTAATGATGATAATGGTAGTCTGATTAATAGCATACCAGGATGTGCAAAGGCACTTTATGAAAAATGTATGGAAAGGAGTTTGCCGGTTTTGTTAATTTTTCGGTATTGTACAGACGGGGATAATAAAAATGAAGCTTTTTTGACTACTAGTGTTTTAAACGAGCTTATTGATGTGTTAAACGAAGCAAATGGTGAATTAGACATTGTTGTACCAAAGTCTTGGAATTATCTTTATGGAAATATTCCACCTGATAATATATTCTAATTAACACGTTATTTTTTCACTGTTATTCATTACCCGTATTGAAAATTCTAGTTTTTTATCTACTTAATAAACAATGAAAAAGTTAAAAGTATTATTATTTTAAGTTCTTCAAGGCAACTGGATTTGTTAATTTAATCTTTTCTCATTTCAGTCATTCTAAATCATTTGACACTGCCATTGGAAAATGTATGTGAATAAGAATTTCAAAGTCATTTGGAGAAACTTGATAAGGACACACATAAAATTAGCAAATCAGATTTTCTAGACAAAACAAAGATTTTCTTCAGGAAGTGAATAAATAACATATAGTCCAGTCATTTAAGCTTAAATTAGGTAAGAATCTCGTAATTCAAGATACCCAGCTGTAAGTCTGTAAATTGTACTTGTATATTGACACCCTAAAGTTGTCTCAAAACCTACATATGTTGGGGTGTCAATACCATATGTAGGTTTTGAGACAACTTTAGGGTGTCAATATACAAGTATTTACAGACTTACAGTTGGGTATCTCGAATTCTGGGGTGAACTTACTATAATGACAGGACTAATATTTGATATATCGTATTCCTAAAAGATGTTTCCAAAATGTCTTCCAATTGGTTTTGATGTTTTTGGTTCTTTGTAAGGTAATTATTAATATTTTGCATTTTGGCATTAATTTCCACAATTTTGGTATTTATTATTCAAATATACACATATACATCACTCAATAGTCCTTTGGGTTATTTATGGGGGCTAAACATAGATCAAATGCGCTTTACTCTGTATGAGTGTTTTTAGCATATCATAGATGGTGCTTCAAATTCAGCTCAGAACACAGTTTCTCTAGTTATAGTAAAACTTACTTTAAATGTTCAAGTACCAATTTTATATATTGAAATGTATCTTTTTGAATGAAAAAAAAAAAAATTTGTTTTATTTATTAACTTCCCGAAGGAGAAGTTTATGTTTTCATCAAAAAATCTTATTTGCTAATTTTATGTTTTCTCGACGTTTCAAGCCATTCTGAATCGAATGAGACCAAATTTGGAAAAAGTATGTGCGTGTGAACAGATTTTTTGCCGTAAATCGACATTTTCTCAAAAACGACTGGACGGTTTCAAAAATTTAAAAGCCATTCGAGTTATCTCAATAAGGACTAGCGTCTATCAACTTTGCGCGACGATCAGCCAAGCTGTTTCTGTAAATAGCAGAAAAGTGAAACATTTTTCGTCCACGTTTTAGCCCGCAA